AACGCTCTCTTTAAAGATGAGTGGGGACAGGAAGACCCAGAAAATGTCGTAGAAGAAAGCAAGACTCAACAGCAATGTGGAAACCTGCAAAGTTTGGAAATGAGAGCAACAGCAAACAACACAGAAACAAGAAGAAATGCAAACAAAGAAGAAGACGAAAAAGCAGAAAAAACGAAGGACCACAAGAATGTCATTGTCTATCACATATTCGAGCAAAAGAAAAATGTGTGTGTGTGTGTGTGTGTGTGTGTGTGTGTGTATGTGTGTGTGTGTGTGTGTGTGTGTCACACACACACACACACACAAAAAAAAAAAAATAAAAAAAAATTGAAGAAAGAACTTTCAAACGAGCTATGTAATAATGCAACAGAACATTCATATGAGCATTCGACCTGGCAGATTCTTTCTGATCGGCGGCCCGTGTTGCATTTCGGACCCTCCAAAAAGAGCAGTGAGAGGTCAGCAGGTGATATATGGGAAAGGTACTGGTGGTTTAATCGGTGTTCTTTTTTTCTAAGCCCCAAAGCTTAAACTCTAAGCCCGATTGTCCTCGAGGACATCTGTTAAAATTGGAACAGCTTAAACTCTAAGCCCGATTGTCCTCAAGGACGTCTGTTAAAATTGGAACAATAAATACAGAGAAAGAAGATTAGCATGGCCCCTTCACAAGGATGCCACGCATAAATTAAGAAATCCCCCCCCCTCCCCCAACACACACGCAAAAAAAAACTTTCAACCGCCAGTACTTCCTAAAGTCATGCCCGTTAACGAGCCAGAATTTTAGGAAACGTACGGGCTACTACAGGAGCGCCCAAATTCATCCGACTAGAAACGTTTCTACACTATTTTTTTCCCGCGGCCGACAGCTGGGCCAAGTACTGGGGGTTTAAACTTTAAAGTTTAACTCAATTACTCTGTTGGATGGAGTTTTCTTATTTTTGAAAAGTGTGCTACAAGCCCTCCCGAGCCAAAGCAGATCCAGGACGTAGATGTCACACAAAGAACCACGACTTCACAAAACACGTGGCGTGAAGCACATTCCAAGGCTTCACGAAACCGTCACCTGCGGCAAATCTCTACGCACCACACCCCAAGGGGATCCACAACTTTTGACTCAAACCCTTGCGTGGACCAGCCGCCAACCAGTCGCCGTGGTTTCATGAGGATTTACGACCCATACATACCCTGATGTAGAGCCTGACCCAGACCTGCCCTCAAGACCACACTATGAAGTCAAACACGACTGCAAAAACAGTGAAGTCCAGGCGCTTGGTCTGTGCTTAGTCTGTACTTGTAACCAGACCTCCCAATGCCAAACCGGATACCGATGCTTTTGACCAGACCTCCCAAAAACAGTGAAGTACCTAATACAACAGGAGGCTGTTGATGCACATCCGTCCCTTTGAATGCATATTAACAAAAGATCCGACCCTGTACATCCGCCCCCGTACATCCGCCCCAGGAACTTGAAAGCACATATTAACACACAACAAATATCCAGAATGCATACACATTACAAACACCTACTAAATATGTATATATTGTCACATCACTACAAACTAAAAGAGCGCACTTTGCGGGACAAAGAATAAAAGCAAAAAACGGGCACAGTTATAACATGCAAAAAGAAAAAGAAAAAGAAAAAGAAAAAGAAAAAACAAGGGCAGATTGAAACCATTAAATTTCTCATTCTTCTTTGGACTCCACCTCCACTGTGCCTCTCACGTGCAAGGCTCGCCACGTTGATGAAGTTGAGCGCGAGCTGCCCCCATCCCCGTATGCCATAACAG